CCTTGCCCTTCAGCCCCACTAGGCCGCGCTCCACCAGCGAGTAGCCGCCCAGCGCGTCCAGCAGCCGCTTCGTCTCCAGCGAGCAGTGGATCTTCAGCGCTGCCGACGAACACACATTTTGTCCGAATTATATGTCTGCCTACTTGACAGCTAGGGGCTGGCAGGGGAGGGGGCGTCCAATCAGAGGCTTCAAATTCTGATGAAAACACCGTAGAGTTGCCGATATTTATTAAGAACAAGAAATGAAATCTAACAGCGCAAAGCAACTGAAAATTGAAGAGAGCAATTACTTTTTTGGTTATGGATCGTGTGTGCGGTTGTGGATTACGTACTGTTGTGGTGCTCTGATGCGAGAACGACCACGTGTCTGTGTCTCGAGAAAGCAGCAACATAGATCTACTCCACCCCAGCTCTCAAGTTGACAGAAATATTATGCGGACAATACACTGTAGGAGGGCTATACTGATTGGAGGGGTATACACATTTCGCAGTTATGTAATCGTAGGCTTCCGCAGGCAGTCATGTGAAGGTTCTCAGCCGTCCAGTTGAAGCTGCATCCAGGGCAGTGATGGCGGCGGTTCGACCAACATATAGGTGTCTTTTTCAAGGCACTCCAGACCTGAAACGTCGGCATCACTGCCCTCGAAGTGGCGTCACCAGGACATCCGAGAGCCTTCAATTTAAAGTGATATTTTGTGTAATTTTGGAAACTGTATATTCACTACATAAATACATTATAAATGCAAAATGAGTCAAACAATTTTACAAAGTTATATGATTCACTTTTATTAACAAATATGCATTAAGAAATATTCACGTCTTGGTACTATATCGTCCTCTCTGCGCCCACTTCTATTGTTGTGTTTCATTCCTCTTCTGCCCTTTCTGTCTCCTCAGTTCTAATCCCAATTTGGTTTAGCGTATTCCTCTCCAGTCACGATATCAGAGAAGCGCTTGCAGAGTACCTCCACCCGTTGACCTTTCAACGTAATATAAAGTGTGTGTATATAAAGCGTAAATATAATACGTGCATATAAAGCGTTTCTCTGAGAAGAGACCATGTGCTTAGATGGAAGTACACATCGCTTTAGTATTTCTACTATTGTGACAAACGCAGTAGTTTATTACATTACGTTTCATCATATGAATATATTACTTTAACTAACAAATGGAAATTTTAGTTCTAAAAGAAATATTTACGTGCTTAGTGAATTCTCGAATTAATTGAGTTTGCTTACGCATTCCAGTGGACTCCATTCGCGAAGCGGTGTTGACGGTGTCTCCGAACAGGCAGTAACGGGGCATCTTGAGACCCACAACTCCCGCGCACACGGGACCTGCGCAGACATTGTGGTGAGTAGCCCATTCAGAAATGACTGCATTTGCTTTTGCCATGATCCTTTATAGACTTAGTTCCCAGATTCTCGATTGAAATATGTGATCTTGATCACATCTGTGATCAGTAGAAATTAAGACAGTCTCATTATTGATATTATTTTGAACCTGCATGCTATTAAGTCTTTGGAGATCAACCATTACTAAATACTTTTATTCTACAGTAAATTTTAACTGTTGCCAATATGCGTGTTTAATTAACCTAAGAAGCTAATACATAATTTTTACATTGGCATTCGAAATCTGCAAGTGTTCAACAGCTTTTTGGTTTAAAAATGTTTAAAAAGAGTTTAACAAACGACAGATAGTTCCAAACTCTTATATTCTTCTGTTAACAATATACTTTATTTGACAGAACTGGCCAACTTTCCGGTTCTTCTTAAAATGTGTTTCTGGTTTTGGAAATAAAAATTAATTATTTCTTTACTCAATATGTTTTAAACGATTATAAACTTATTACTTATCAATTTATTAGGTATCTAAAATTTGGCCGTATTAATTTTTAGATTTTACAAAAGATACAAATTATGGAGATTCAAAATAATTTACATTTAAATTTTTTCTTAAGTACATTTAAAAATTAATTAATTTACATTTGTGAATGTAATAATTTTTAATTGTAAATAATGTTGTATCTAAATAATTGTATATTTAGTAAAAGTCTGCAAATTAAAATGGTAAAATTTTTAATGTATAACAATTTATTGAAGGCAATTTGTTATTATTAATGAACAAGAAATATTTAACCAGAGATATTTTCCGATTACCTCCTCCAAACCTTTAGTTAATAAAATATATGTTGTCAAAGACGCCTTGCTTATTTGCATCAATTTGGGGAACGGCCTTTTTTGTTTTATATATAATGTTCTTGACTGACAATTATTGCATTACAAAGGTTTTAAACAAGATTACACCAATAACAAATTCATAATTTTTCGAGGGTCTTCCAAGGAGGAATCTCTCATTAACAGCTTGTAAGTTTGACATTATAAAGCAACGAAAAAGTTAATATTCTCTATATTTAAACGAGAAAGAAGACAGTATGTAGTAATAATTGATCTAAAATAATTGCAAATTATGGAGGACGTAGGATCTTTACTACTCGTATAACCGAGTTTTAACTCCGGAAAAGGGATTTAATGATTTCTCGAGATTAAAAATTGAAATGGAGGGACACGATTGTAGAAATAAATAGAATATTAATAATAACTTTCAAACCCTTTCTTTAAGGGTTCAATAGAAAGTTCTTTTTGAATTTTATTATTCCGTAAGTGGCCTGGAGCTTTTATTGTAGTGCGCAGATATTTTTTTTTATTACTACTTGACGTGTACGTAGCGCGGTTTTTGGAGGCGCGTCCTCGGTAGCGCAAGAGGAGTGCTGCGGCGCGGCGCGGCGCGGCGCGCACCGGAGTGGATGCCGATGCGCAGGCGCAGGCTCTCGTTGGGGCGGTGGCGCACACGGAAGCGCTTCACGGCCTCCAGCAGGTCCAGCGCCATCGACGCGATCTCGGCCGCGTGCTGGTCGCCGTTGCGCAGCGGCAGCCCGCTCACCTGCCACACACAGAGCAGCACTGGACGTGGCTCACAGCTCGACACGTAGGATAGGTATTAGGTGTCGGTGGTTAAAGACAAGACAAATTATGATGAGGCCGATCCGGTGGCCGAGATCGCTAAGGCCGAGATCGCTAAGTGCTGTAGCGATCTCGTACCGAACAATTGCGGGTTCGACTCCGGCCTCGGGCATGGTTGTATTGTGTTCGTCCTATCACCCCCTATCATTATCATCATCATCATCATATCAGGGAAGGCAACGGGAAACCACCCCGAATAATTTATCCCAAGAAAACCCGTTTTGGGTCACTGAACTTCCGTATAAGGAAGATAGGACCAAAGAAGAAGAAGAATCATGATGAAGCACAAGAGCTATTTAAGACTAAAGTGTACAGCGAACAGTCACAAAATAAATAACTGCTACTTGTTTCACAAAGATACCAAGCCATTGAATTGCACTTGTTTTACAAGGTTGCTAATATTCAAATTATGAAAAAAAACAGTTTTTTATGAACTTCAAAACATCTTCAAAGCAGGTGCGCGGTGTGAATTACTGTCTTAATAGTTGAAAATACACAAATAAAAAAAAATAGAAAAGAAAACAGTAAAACAAAACAAGAGAAACCTTGAAAGAAAATTTTGAATTATTTTTTTTAACGAAAACGAGTCCAATTTCTAATGTTCGATATAATGATTGCAAATAAATAAACCAAATTGTATAATAAAAGTGCAACGTTATTCGAAAAAAAAGTTTTATCTCTCGTGTAGAACATTATTTTAATATCTGAAGATTACTTTATCTTGATATTTTATAGTTAGAATATTTAATTTCAGAATGATTAATAAAATATGTTGTCTGGTATCAACAATTTATATGGCTGATAATCGTTTCGATCGCGTAGCGATCATCCTCAGAGCTAAAATTCAAAATAAATTATAGTAATAATCAATTAGGGATACGTTAATACAAATATTATACACAGGATGTAGACATTGCATGCCAGATACGTAAGCAAACTGGGTCGTACATACCTTGCAGCTTCCGGACCGAAAATAAAGTTCTGCGGATTTTTGAGTGAGTGTCTTGGTTAAGAAGAATGTTGGGTGCGGGTGAATGGTTGTAAGACGCGGGAGTGTCGGTGGAGGCTTGAGAAGCTGTCGGGCGAGCGAAGGTCAGTGAAGTAGGGGGGTTAGGGATGTACACTTTGTGCTAATTTTAGTAGAGGTGAAGAGAGTTCAGGGGTTTGTTGGTTAAGACACGTCATGTGCTGTTTTTTGATGATGTTATGTATATGTAGGGATTATAATTTTATTCTGTTCCAGTACCTAAACAGGTACTGGAACAGAATAAAATTATAATAATTCTAGAATTAAAAATTATATTAATTCTAGAATTCGGAAGTTTGTGTGTTTATCAATTGTGTGTTTGTTTAAATTTAGGTGATCCGCGAAGTGTGAGACTGTGATAGTGTTGTTTTTCCATGCTTGTTCGTGTTCTTTGATTATTTGTGTGCCTGTTTTTCCTATGTATATGGCATTGCAGTTTTTGCAAGTGAGAGCATAGACCCCGCATAACGAGGTAGGTGGGATTGGGTCTTTAGTGTTGAATAGTGTTTTATGTAATGTATGAGTGTTGTTGAAAGAAGTTTTGAGAGCGAATTTATTGAGTGTGGTAGCTATTTTAAGATAAAGGGGTCCTACACAAGGCATTGTGAGGTGCTGTCATGCTTCTCTCAATTAGTGTGATGGTGATGTGTTTGCGGATATTAAGTGTGTGTGTTTTATTTTTAATATTAATTTGTCAATGATGTTACAGTCGTATCTATTTATTATGGCTACATGTTTTATGGTCAATAAAACGATCGAAATGATCATCAGCTAAATAAATTGTTGATACCGGACAACATCTTTTATTTATCATTCTTAAATAATACAAGGTATCTACATCACCAGCGATCTAATTAATATTTAATTTCATTTTTAAAATCCGTACATACCACCATGTAGGCATCTCCGATCGTTTCCACTTTGTATACATCGTAGGCTCCAACGGTGCGATCAAAGGCAGTGTATAGGTCATTCAGGAGATCAACCACCTGCAACGCAAAAAAGGCAAAGCATGCAACATTTGTTCAATGTCAAGATTGATTAAATTGTTTGTCAAACACAGCCTAACACTTCTGATCTCTCAATTATTTACAGTTGTCACCGATACCAGTAGGTTGAGATATTCTGCGTGGTAGTGATTATGAGCGTTCAGAAGAAGAATTTTATAGATTTGTTTCTAATTACGACCACAATGTTGCTAAATGTTGACTTCAACCTTCAACTTGCCTCAACGTATAACCATCCGACAATGTGGATAGATATTGAAACCCACCGTACACTGTTAGTTTCCGATCGCATTCATGCAATCTGACAATTCCTCAATATATGAGTCATACGCAATGTTTCCAGTGTTTTAAACAATACGATCCTACGTTTTGTTCAATTAATTCGTGGTGGCAATGCCTAACATTAGAAATGTATCAGGTGAGCTCTGACGACTGAGATCGCTTAAACAATAGTGCGTTGTCGTTTTGGACAAAAGATTTTCGGTGGGAGGAATTGAAATCCGCGTAGACATTTTCCCTTGTGTCGAGTCATAGTACTAACCATCTTTAACTAACCATCACTAACTTTATCCCATCTGTCGAGGCCTATTCGGGTAGCGTTGAAAAAATCTACACGTTGAGTCTGAGCAGTCTCATTCCCTTGTGTGTTTCCCCTCCAGTAAGTGTGGCGCCGGTGCCGCCATATTGATCTCAGTGTTTGACTGTGGGCCAAAGCTAGTCCTACCTACGTGCAACCATTAGCTTTTCGCTAATAGCAGACAGGGCAGAAACCTATCCGCGCCCTAAGATTGTAAGGTATAGCAAGAAACAGGGACGGATACAGAGACGAATTTTGTTATTCAAAATATTTTGTTCGAATACAGATACAGTAGAATTTATTAATGCAGATAATTAATACAGATTATGTAGAATGACAGAGGCTAAACTCAGATCATGTTGCGATACTGTTTTATTCGTTTTAATGTTTATACGAAAATATTTTTGCTTGAAAGATTCGTGTCAAGCAAAAATTAAGTTACTGAAATTTTTCTTTGGGAGGGGGGATTTCCCTTATTTCTCTCCACGTGAATCCGCGCCTGCAAGAACACTGCTCTCTGAAGGAACTATGAACTGCCTCAGATGAAATCCTCTGGAGAGCAAACTGGAGGGGCAAACAGTCTCTATTGCCGATCGTTTAGAAATCTCACATGATAAAAGAGGTCCCAGAAGACACACACAGAGAGAGAGAGAGAGAGAGAGAGAGAGAGAGAGAGAGAGAGAGAGAGAGAGAGAGAGAAAAGAGTTGCGTCTGACCTGCAGCGGGGTGCTCTCGGCGGAGAGGGCGGTGAAGCCGACAATGTCGCTGAAGTAGATGGTGACGCTCTCGAAGCTCTCGGCCTGCACCTTGTTGCCGCGCCGCAGCTGCTCCGCCACCGTGCGCGGCAGCATCTCGAACAGCAGTTGCTCTGCGCACACCCAAGGAGACACAGTTAAGAATCGCTTCAGTAGCGACACCAAAACTGGTAGTTTTTCAGAACGGAAAGACACTCTGCGCGAACATACGCAGATGCATGCTGAGATCAAAGCATCTAACTGATTTAGATATTTTCACGGTTGAATACAGCTTCAAGTTTGCGAGACCGAAACTTATTTTCCGAATGAAATGTTGGAATTTTGCACACACATTCTCAGTTGCACGCAGCCTCACAATGAATCCTAAACATAAATCTTAATCGTTAACAACTGTTTAAATAGTGAGATTGAAACAGGTATTTCTCGTGAAATATATTGTTAGATATGTTGTCGAATGAAATGGTTTTGGTTTTTAAAAGTTCTTCTAATTTCATGCTTTCAATTTCTTCTCTAAACAGAGTACTAGAGACGCTGGTTTGCCGATATCCCACTCTATATCGATATCTGAGGTTTTCATGCTAAGCAAGTCGCCACCCTGCTCACGCTCATACAACGTTTAGCCATTTGGACAATTCGCTTATTTACGGCAGTGGGTCATTATATTCCGGTTTTTGTCTGTATATAGAAAAGACAGCAGAATATTTCCAGAATAATAAAATTATGCAGTATATTTTATTGAATTAAATTGACACATTAAGCGATTTATTGTTTTTGTATGTGTTCAATAATGTTATAAAAGCAGACATCAAATAAGTGGAAATTGGAAACTATCGGAAGCACTTGTACAAGTAATATGTTCCAAGCACTCAAAAATTGATTTCTTTGTTATCACGACGATGTGTTTATAAAATTTCATACATTTTCTCTAAATTTATGCAATATTGTAGTTATATAGTATTCCCGCACTTGGGAGGTTTGACCCTTACCTCTTTTGGGAGAAAATTTGGATTACTATGGAAAGCTACGAAGCAGTGTGTTAATTTAATTTTTCAAGATAACTAATTTAATTTTTCAAGGTAAATCTGGATACGTAAATGCAGCAAGTAAATATTGTCGTTTAGACCTTCACTTTATCGTAGCCAGTCCGAGTATACTAATTTGGATGTTTAGTGCGAGCAATGTGTGAAAGTGTTTGCTGGTGGTTTTGTGAATGTCCCTCGCTCGTACCAGTCTTCCGTTTCTCCTCCGCCAGCTGGTCGGTGCGCTCGTCGACTAGCGCCTCCAGGTTGTTGGCGTACTTCTCCATCATCGCCATCATGTTGTCGAAGATGTTGGGCTTCCTGCAAAAAAAAAAAATATATATAACGTGAACTACAACAAGACTCGAAAGGGGAATTGAACTTCCGCTTATGCGATAGATACAGTAGATCGATCAATGGAAAGCGTAGTGAACACTGTTTCTACACAACACTGTCACCACAGGGTACATGTTTAATTATTCCCACCCCATCTGATTTGCACCAGGTTTATCTTCAAACGTTGCGGTTAATAAATTTTAATGAAAAATAAATGATATTTAATCGTTGTTTATTACTTACGGCTGCATATGCTAAAATTATTTAATTGAACATAAAAAGTTATTAGATCAATTTTCCAGTAAATTGCTTTAACATTCAAAATGCAAATTAAACACAGTTTTTAAATAGACATTTGTATATATATATATATATATATATATATATATATATATGCCACAAAAAGATTTGGAAACTTTATCTGTATTGGTATCAAATGAAATCGATCCTTCTAAGAGGCGTTCTCGTAAGCACTCTAAAATTATGTTCTGTGCTCATTGTTAACAAATGTTGTGAAAAGAAAAAAAGATGCGACACTAATATTTTTTATTATGTACGTAAGTTAGTGTCATTAGATACTTTATCTTTTCAAGTTTCTGAATCATGTCTGGAGACAGATCCTTCATTATTATCGTATCTATTTGGTATCTGACTCGTCATCAAAGTAATCTGATAACTGATATAACAATTAAACAATGATCTTTCCAAAGTTTGTGATCAACTGATAAACAGGAGTGACTGAACGATAACATGCAGCGAACTAAGTTGTGAAATGAGTGAAAGTTGAGGAATCGAGTGAACTCTTGAACTGGTAAGTTTAAATTAAGGAAAGTATGACAAAAAGAAAAAAAAATATTAATAATATACCTGGGCAGTGAGGTGTCAGCTTCAGAAGGCACACAAAACATTGGAATGAAGATTTATAATGGCGTTAAAATTAGATTGACTGAAACTTGTTATAAACGTACTGACATAAATAGAACTCGTAGTAACTATAATGGGTCTTTAAGAATTGAGGTACCTGTTAAAATGTTATGCAGTTGCTGTAGATTGAATTTTATCATGTTCAAGCAGCTGATAAGAATTACAAATCAATACGTTTATTATAAAAGGAACTATTCTTGTAACATATTCATTTTACATAATTTGAAACTTTATTGAATATTTCCAAACCAAAATGGGTATGTATGAGTTATAGTCAAGTGCGGAAGAACTACGAAATCGAGCGAAAGTGGAAATGAAACAGTAAGAAGAGTGAAGTGAAAGAATGATTAACGTAGATGGGGGAGAAGAGGAATCAGAGAAGACTGAGTGTAAAAGTGAGATGAGGGCGATTTGAAAATGATAAGCGAGAGGCGAAAATGGTGTTGAGGGGAAAGTAGAGCGGATGTAGGGCGTGAGACAAAACAAGCTTAAATGCGGCGTAAGTGAGAGTCGTAAATGGGAGCGGGACTTAAATGGAAGATGTACCTGAGGAATAACGTGAAGTAGGTTCTTAGGACGCAAGTGACGCGTAAGTGAGGCGTACATGGGCCGCAAGTGGGAGGCATAGAATAGGGCGCGTAAATGTCGTAAATGTGGGTGTTAATAGGAATGTGTAAGGCTGAGGTGGTGTATATGTTTTGCCTAAGAAGGAAGCGTGAAACGTATGCGACGCAGGTGTATGGCATATGTTAGGCGTGAGTAGGTAGGTAGTATGTATGTAGGCAGGATAGGTAGGTATATAGGTAGGTTAGTTAGGTTGGGTAGGTTGGGAAGGTTGGGTAGGTTGGATAGGTTGGGTGGGTCGGGTAGATCGGGTAGGTTGGGTATGTCGGATAGGTCGGGTAGGTCGGATAGGTCGGGTAGGTTGGGTAGATCGGGTAGGTCGGATAGGTTGGGTAGGTCGGGTAGGTTGGGTAGGTCGGGTAGGTTGGCTAGGTCGGCGGTTAGGTTGGCTAGTCGGTTAAGTTGGGTAGTCGGGTAGGTTGTAGGTCGGTAGTTGTTGGTGGTAGTTGAGGTCGGTAGATCGGTAGGTTGGGCTATTGTTGGATTAGGTTGGATAGATAGATAGATAGATAGATAGATAGATAGATAGATAGATAGGTAGGTAGGTAGGTAGGTAGGTAGGTTGAACTGACGGAGCGTACTCACATGCCCTTGCGCAGGCGGCGCGAGGCGCGTGCGGATGGCCTTGAAGTCGGGCCGCGCCTCGGGGGCCTCGGCCCAGCACTCGCGCAGGCACTCGCGCACGCAGTGCGAACGCGTTCTCCAACGCCTCCAGCGCCGGCCTGCGACACGCCCTCGCTCTGTTGATGCGGCTCCACACATTCGGCGTTCGGCGCGCCCCGAGCAACCGCTCGCCCAATCCCGAATTATGTTTCCACACAGGCTGCTTGAGATTCGCCGGCGCCGACCGTTCGGATTGGGTGAGCAGTAGCTCGCTGCTCAGCGAATGCCGAATGTGTGGAGCTACTTTTACACCCACTCCACGGCAAATGCCAAGGTTGCCCGATAACCCCTACGTTTTCCCTCAACGCTTACACATTTATTATATCTTTATCATATAGAACAGTAAATATTACTATTATATTTAAGAACGCTATTGAAGGGTATTAAAAAGAAAGATGGGAAAATGATAGTATAAAAATTGCCAAGGGAAAATGACTTTTAATCACTTAGTAATACATGAATTACAAAGTGAACTACACGTAAATGCACCCAAAGAGGGTCAGTTATTTTTACGTGAGAATATTAATATTAAACTGAATGGTTTTGTTACTCTTAATCATTAAACCAATAAAATGTATTTCTACGTGACTTTTCATTCCTAAATATCGACACCTAAGCGTTAACCTGACTGTTTATTCCTAAAAGTAGATTAGATACGAAAATACGCTATCTTTATCCGGGGAAGCTGATAACGCAATAAGACCAAGACGTCCTTGACACATTAGGTGGAGAAATGACGATACAAAAAAGGTAATATTTACTAATCCTTAACGAGATAGAAATTGAATCATATACATAAAAATCATATTAATTATATAATCAAGCGAGATATCAATGCATAATATGGATATAAAATATATCATAAGATGTTGGACATGAAGAATGTTCTAAACTGGCAGACGTCAAAAATCACTATCACAATTGTTTCTGTCAAGAACATTGTTTAACTTCGGATATACATATTTCTGTAATTAGGCAGTTCATTGACAAAGAATTTACACGTTCAAAATTATAATACGAATAAAACTGTTCCCTCTGAATAATTTTACATTCTCAACATTACAAAATAAAGCTACCAATAGATATTGCGTTGCTGGGAAATTTACTTTATAATCACCTTCAGAATAAGTTTTTACATCATCTGTCTGCTTTGTACCGTGAAGATTTAAACTTCGAGTACTTTGCCCAAGTGCACATTTTTCTTATTTTATGGTTAAATTGCCTCTGAATTGAAGCAATCATTTGGCAGGCCTTTTAATGAAGTAATGAATTATGTAGTATCTCCATACTGATTTTATAATAGCTTTTTAAAATTTAATAATTGAATCTTCAGAGGAGGAAAACTACAGGACCGTTATTATAACTCGTGCTTCTCAAACTCAATTACGCTGCCTTCAAACATTCTATATTTGTTACCTAATTTCTTATGCATGCATTATTTCCTCTTGCGTAAAGTTTAATTTAAAATGCATTGAAAATGGCGGCCAAACTCTAAATAAAGTAACATTTTCGACGTCTAGACAGCCATACACTATCTCACAAGGGAGCTATACATATACAGCTATCTCACATGGGAACTGCATTTCAACGATGGCACTATTCACGGCGAAAACTGAAGACAGGCATACCTCTTGTTCCCATAGTGCATAGTAGCCAGCTTTCATACACCCATTGAGCACGGGAACTGCGTGACAACAATGGCAGTGATCACCGCGTCCGCGGAGCGGGGGAGGGAACGTGCCTGAAGAGGGCATATACTGTTTATCTCTTATCCTATGCTCTCTAAGCCTACGCTCTCACTTGGTTATCTCTTGTTCTCGTAGTGGATAGTAGCAATGTACTTTCAATACATCTCTCTAACTCCGTAACCTATGACAACAATGACAGTGATTATTGTGCCGCTTGGCAGTGGTCGCGCCTGAGAGGCATGCAGCGTTTATCTCTTGTTCCGCAGAGGATAGCAGTCACGTGTTTTTAATACAAGGAGCTGCACGACGAGACCGGCAGCGGTGCCCGGGGCGCGGGGGCCGCCTACCTGTAGGGCGCGTGGTGCGGCGCGGGGGCCGCGACGCGGCGCACCACCTCGGCCGCGTTGAGCCCGGTGTCGGCGTAGGGGGCGTGGCGCGCGTGCAGCTCGTACAGCACCATGCCGAAGGCGAACGCGTCGTCCTTCTGGCCCGCGGCCGCGCTCAGCTGCGCGTCGGGCGCGCGCAGCCGCTCCGGCGACCGGTACAGCAGCCCTGCCACACGCACACGGCCGTTGCTCGCGGGGCTGTGGTTGGTGGGAAGGAAAGGGGTGCGAGTGGTTTGTTGACAATTTCATGTGTGTAAATTAAACGCGTGTGAATTGCGCGTATTTCATTAACCCTTTTCGGGCAAGCAATTTCACTGACGCTGCCGGACAGGCGGAGTCAGGACTGTCTGCGACGGAATTACTCTTACAGGTGTATTTTAAGTGTACTTTTTGGTGTGGATAATGAAGCAGGAATATCTAAAATAATTGTTTAATATAATAAAAAAGTACTTTAAATTTGTTTATTAAACAGTTTTTCTCTTATTATAAGTCCACACACTGTTACCGTGGTTATGCTCATTACAGACAAGTTTTCAACAGATGTTATCTCTCTTTGTTTCCTATTTATTTCCTAAGGGCACAAATGAAATATTTTTTGACTTTGTTATAAAGTTTCTGAGTTGCAATAGTTCCTTCTTTCCCGAAAACGTGTGTGATTGACAAGCGATACTTTTTATTCAATCCTGTTGGACAATAAACA